CCTTACCAATACATCTTGTTGTCTGTCTTTTTTATTTTAGCCATCCTAGTAGGTGTAAAGTGGCATATGATTGTGGTTTTGATTTGCATTTCTTGAATTGTTGAGCTATGTTTAAGCCATAGTCTTTTCATGTTCTTATTGATCATATGTTTGTTTTCTTTGGAGAAATGTGTACTCTGATCCTTTGGCCATTTTAATTAGAATATTTCTCTTTTTAGTGTTGTAGGAGTTTTTTAATATATTTTGGATATAAGACACTTATCAGATATGTGATTTTCAAATATTTTCTCATTCTGTGAGCTAGCTTTTTACTTCCCTGAAAGTGTTATTTAATGTACAAAGGTTTTAATTTTCATGAAGTCTAATTTATCTATTGATACGTTAATAATGTATCTATTTTTTATTTTGTTACTTGTGCTTTTGGTTTTGTATCTTAGAAGGCTTTGCCTGACTCAAAGTCACAAAGATTTACTCATATTTTTTCTTCTAAGAGTTTTATAGTTTTAACTCTTACATATTGGTGTATAATCTATTATGAGTTAACTTTTGTATATGGCATAAAAAAGGTGTCCAACTTCATTCTTTGGAATGTGAATATCCAGTTGTTCTAGCACCATATGTTGAGTCTGGCCATACTCTTCCTGTATTTCTTCATAAATGAAGAGATGTGTGTACTTTTAAAAAGAATTATTTCTTTTTTCCTGCACAAAAGAGGCAAAACAATACAATCAGTAAGTATTCTTTTTCACTTGATTTTTCACTTAATAGTATATCCTGGAAATCATTCCATATCAATTCATAGAGATCATCCTTATTTTTTCTTTTATAGCTACAAGGTACTATCTTTGTGATATACTGTAGTTTATCTAACTATTCTCCCATGTGTGGGCATTTGAATGGTTCCTAATATTTTTAAAATATAAATAATGTTTTAATGAATAATCTTTATGTTTGGAGGTAGATTCCTAGATATGGGATTGCTGTGTCAAGGAGTAAATATATAATATATGTAGTCTTGTTATATAGTGCCAAATTTCCCTCCATAAGAATTTTATCATTTTGCACTTCCACTGGAAACACATGAGAATGCCTGTTTCCCCACAGCCTTGAGTATCAAATTTGTTTTCTTAATATTTTTGACAAATTAAGAGGTGAGAAATGATATCTTGATGTTGTTTTAATATATACAGGCATACTTGGGAAGGTGTACATTGGAGAAATTACGCGTTCAATTTCAGACCACTGCAGTCAGGTGAATATCACAATAAATCAAATCACACAAATTGTTTGGTTTCCTAGTGAAGAGAAAAGTTATGTTTCCACTACATTGTATTCTATTAAATATACAATAGCATTACGTCTTTAAAAAGTACAAGCCTTAATTAAAATGTACTTTATTGCTAAAAAATTTTAAGGATTTTCTGAGCCTTCATCAGGTTGTAATCTTTTTGCTGGTGGAGGGTCTTGCCTTCATATTGATGGCTGCTGACTGATCAAATTCCAGTTGTTCATTACTTATATATAATGAGGAGTTGACTTTGTGTATTAACCTTGTATCCTCCAATGTTGCTATGATTACTGGTTCGTTTTAGGAGTTTTGGGATTTTCTTTTTTTTGAGACAGGGTCTCACTCTGTTGCCCAGGCTAGAGTGCCATGACATCAGCGAGCTCATGGCAACCTCAAACTCCTGAATTCAGTCAGTCCTCCTGCCTCAGCCTCCTGAGTAGCTGGGACTACAAGGGCGTACCACCACACCCGGCTAATTTTTTCTACTTTTAGTTGCTTGGCTAATTTCTATTTTGAGTAGAGATGGAGTCTTGCTCTTGGTCAGGCTGTTTGAACTTCTGACCTCAAGCGATCCTCCTGCCTCACCCTCTGAGAGTGCTAGGACTACAGGCATGAGCCACTGCACCTGGATGGGATTTTTTGCATTGACAATCATATCATGGGCAAACAAATGCAGTTTTGTTTCTTCCTTCCCAATCTGTATGCCTTTTATTTATTTTTCTTATCTTACTGCATTAGGTAGGACTTTCAGAATGATTTGAATAGGAGTGGTGAGAGCAGACATCGTTGCCTTATTCCTGATCTTAGCAGGAAAGCATCTAGTTTCTCACCTTAAGTATGACATTAGCTGTAGATCTTTTTCACCACGTTGAAGAGGTTCCCCTCTTTTCCTAACTAGTTTGCTGAGAGCTTTCATTGTGAATGAGTGTAGATTTTGTCAAATGCTTTTTCTTTTTTAGCTGGTTGATGTGATAGATTATAATAGTTAGTTTTTGAATGTTGAGCCAGCCTTGCATACCTAGAAGAAATCCCACTTGGTCATGGTGTATAATTTTTTTTGTGTATTATTTTGTTCAATCTGCTATGTAGATCTGAGTTTTTGCCTATATAATTTTCCTTCTTTTTTGAGGAATTTTTTGAGGAATTTCTTGTAAAAGAGGTCTGTTGGTGACAAATTCTTTCAACTTTTGTTTGTCTGAGAAAGTCTATTTCTCCTTCACTTTTGAAGGACAATTTCACTGGATACAGAATTCTGTGTTGGTGTATCCCCTCTCCCCCCAACTTAAAAATTTTGCTCTACTTTCTTCTTGCTTACGTGATTTCTGAAAAGAACAACAATGTTATTCTTATTCTTGCTCTTCTATAGGTAAGGTATTTTTTCCCTGTGGCTTCCTTCAGTGTTTTTCCTTTGTCTTTGATTTTCTGCAACGTGAATATGATATGCTTGGGTATATGTTATTTTGTATCTGTCCTACTTGGTGTTCTCTAAGCTTCCTAGATCTGTGGTTTAGTGTCTGTCATTAATTTGTGGAAATTCTCAGTCTCTGTTGCTTCAAATATTTCTTCTGTGCCTTTCTCTTTTTCTTTTACTTTTGGTATTTCCATTATGTGTATTTATACCTTTTGTAATTGTCCCACAGTTCTTGGATACTCTGTTTTATTTTTTCATTCCTATTTTTATTTCTATTTCAGTTTTAGAAATTTCTACTGACATTTCATCAAGTTCACTTATTCTTTCCTTAACTGTCAGCAGTCTATTGACGAGCCTATCCAAGGCATTCATCATTTCTGTTAACAGTATTTTTGATTTCTAGCATTTCCTTTTGATTCTTTCTTAGAATTTTCATTTCTCTGATTTCATTAGCACCCTTAGCATATCAGTCTTAGCTGTTTTAAATTCCCTGTCTGATAATTTTGTCATCTCTGCTCTGGGTTTGGTTCTGATGCTCTGTGTTTGGTTCTCTGTCTCTTCAAATGATATTTGTCTTTCAGTCTACCTGTAATTTTTTTGTTGAATGCTGGACTCCAATTTTGAGGGTAGTGATTTGTCATGTGACCTTAGTTCTCTGAAGAATCTAAGAAGAGTTGTTGATTTTCAATTTGTTTAGCTTTTTTCTTGTTGTGAGGACAGATGTGACGACTTCCAATTTCTTTACCCTTTGGACTGTAAAGTAGCAGTCTTTTTGCCTTTCCTTTATCAGGCATTTATATTATAAATAGCTTTTCCCATTTTATTAATGTATGACTTTATTTACTGTGTTTTTTTAGTATGTAAAAGTTTTTTGTTTTTGTGTAGTCTGTTTATCAGTCTTCATTGTATTTGGATTTTGAGTCATAAAGAAAGCATTTTTCTATCCAGGTTTATATAACTTCACCCATGTTTTCTTCTAGTACTTATATGGCTTCCTTTTTTTCTCCAAACATTTTAACATTTCCATCTCATATCCATTTGGAGTTTATTCCTATGTAAGGTATGTGACATGTATATATATTTTTTGAGATGTTTCAAATAGATATTAATATATTTGCTATTTTTAAAAAAAGACAATATGTGTGATTCAGTGTAGACTTTCACAAGCATTTAAGCAACCAAATCATATAGAGCTATCTTGTCCAATATAGTGGCTACTAAACACAGGTGGCTGTTTAAATTTTTAAACACTATTGGTCTAATTTTATCTTTTTCCAAATGGCTACCCAGTTGTCCTAGTACCATTTAATAAAAAGTAAATTTTTGCCTCCCATGACCTTCTTATAGATCAATGCCTTATAGTATATTTCTAAATAAGTACATATAATAATAAATCAACAAATATTTAAAACATTTATTACAGAAACACAATAATGATGATTTTATTAATCATAATTATAGTTTCCAAGTATCAAGCACTTACTCTATGCTAGATTATGAGGTATATTTCGTTCATATTGTCATTTAATCCTTACAGTGATCCTAGAAATAAGGCACTATTATTATTCTCATTTTATAGAGGAAGAAACTTGTACATAGAAAGGTTAACTTTCTCAATACACATAGCTTGTTTATGGGGTTTAGAGCTGAGATTTAAACCCATAAATCTCAGAGCCATAAAGCAGTCTGACTTTAGAGCTTGTGTTCTTAGCCAATTGAAGAGCTTTGTGAGTTCTTCAGTAAGTTTTTTTTTTTTTAATTTCAGTTTTACTTAGAAATAATTGATAAATGTTGAGGTCATACTATTGGACTTAAAAGTTTTTTTTTTTTTTTTTTACGTTTTGTATGTTTTTTATTTGCTCCAGGTGGGGTTTTTAACTGTCACGTTCCCACACTCTGGATAATTTCTGATCCCACCACAAGGAGCCCTCGAATAGGCTGAACTGAGAAATTGGGAATGAAGACTCCTTCCTCAGCCATCTTGCCGAGGGAGTCTCCTTTTAGAAAAAAATCAAAGGTTATTACATGAGTCTGGATGAATTCCACGCTCAGCTTTCCACAGTCCGACAGCCTCCTCTAACCCCCTTTTTTGGCAGGGAGAAATGGGAGAACACTGCTCCCAAATCCTCCTCCTTCACTTTGTGTAAAAACCAAGGGGAAAAACCCTCCTTTGACGGCAAGTCATCTGTGAGCTGTCTCCCTCTCTCCATCGTCGGTCAAACCCTTTGCACATAAGGCAACGTGGAAGCTGATGTTTTTACTCATCTCGCTGTTTTAAAGCACCATTATGAAGTCGGGTTGTACAGTAGTTAACAGTACCTTTTATATATATATCTCATATCTATCATATATATATAAACTGTAAACAAGAGGTAACAGCGGCTTCTAGAAACTGATTTTCTTCAAGGTTTCCTGTGTGGTAGGCACCTGAAATACTGTAGAAAAGTGTAGTATGTGGTGTTCTTGTCACCCTGCTGCTAGCTGGGTTCTGTTCTGCATGACCAGGAATGGTGCTGGCAAGACAGCTCGGTGGCTGGGAGGGAATTCTGCCACCTAAGTGTCTCTCTGTTTCTGCCTCCTGCTTGTGCTCCTATCTGATCAGGCTAGAGACAACAAAAAAAGATATATAGTAAAAAAAAAAAAAAAGAATACCCAATATATAGATAGATTTCTATAGAATTTTCTTTTCTTTTTTCCTCTCTCCCATCTTTCCTCTTGCAAGGTATTGTTACTATTTTTTTTTACTGATTTTTGCTGCAATAACCCTCTTGTTTCAGTCACAGCAAGAAACAAAAACCCAAACAAACAGAAAACCCCTCTGAAAAGAGTAGAAAACAAAAGGTCTGACCAAATAAAAGGGGGCGGGGCTTGGTTTTGTTTTTAAATAGGACTGAAGATTAACATTGAAAAATCAGGAGAGGATGTCCAACCCTTTTCGCAAGGCATGACCCTCCGGTATTTCTGCCTCTGTGGTTTTTGTTTTAAATTTCTTTTTCTCTTCTGGGTGCTGATACTTCTCTCCATCCTCACGTTCTTGGTGTTTTATTATGTTTTGTGTTTTTTTTGTTTGTTTAACTTTGTGTCACTACCTCAGTTTGCCCCCATGTCCCTTACACACAAGCAAAATATTCCTTCAGCGGAGCGAAGAGGTGGCGGATGACTGGCACGCTCCACGACCGGCCCAGAAGTCTCTGCCTGGCCAAGCGACTCATGTTGGAGACGTCGGTATAGTGGACGGGGAAGCCAAACACCCTTTCCATTTCAGTGCACCATAAGATGTCCTCTTTCTCGTTCATGAAGACGGGGAAATGCTGGTCTTTGCCCTGCTTTATGGAGTTCGACCTAGTAGTAATGGTCCTTACTTTGCTGAACTTGGCTATCCTGCCGTGCTCCAGACACTCCTGCAGCTCCAGCTTATCATTCACAGTGGATGCCAATGGCCTGTTCATACCGGGAAGGTTACCCCAAAAGTAGCGGGCCCTGTGTGCAGCTGACATTTCTTTGGTATCAATCATCACAGGGTTGGACTCGAGAAATCTCGCGATGTCCCTCTTGTCACTAACGCCCATGGCCACCACATTCTCAAAGAGCTAGAAGAAGGGGCGATCATCTCCCTCCTTGGGCCACGCATCATGCAGGAGGCGGTAGAACTCAAAGAAGAGCTGGCCAGTGCCCTTGTAGAGTCCCTTGTGGGCAGGGTTGACGATGGAGAGATCGTTGCAGGGACTGCCCCCAATCACCAGATCGAATGGGCCCCACTCCTAGATATGCTTCTGTGTGACGCTGCGGACATCCCCGACGTACATGATCTTCCCCTGGTGTCGCACCATGCCCACCGTGATGGAGTCCTCGCACACCTCCGAGGCAATGTAGCGGTCCACCTGGATGCCCAGGTCCTTCAGCACCAGGAGCCCTGTAGCAATTCCGTCAAAGAGAGACAGCACCCGGATAGGCTTCCTCTTCTCGGCTGGGACAGGTGGATAAACCTTCGGAGGGTCAAATTCCTGGTTGTGGTTATTGGCGAAGAACATCTGGAGCCTAGAGGGCCAGTTGTCCCGCCGCCGCAGCAGCCCATAGGTACCCTTGTGCCCACATATGTAGCAGTTCCAGGGGTCTTCCTTAATGGCCGCCTGGGCAGCCCCTGGCCCCACCAAGAGGTCCACACACTCCACGCAAAAGCACCTGCAGCAGTTGTTGTTCCCGCACATGGGCACCTCACGCCCCCCACAGCAGCTGGTGCAGTAGGACTGATAGCCATCGTCGTCATACTGGTATGCACACTCCAGGAAGCAGTTCTTGCAGTTTTGGCACATTCCTCCAATGAAGAGAGGGTGTTCCAGGGTGACGTTGAGGCTCCCACAAGAAATGCAAATATCTTCGATATTCCGGCACTTCTGCCGCACCTCGTACACCAGCCGCTCTCTTGTGAGTTCATCGATAATCTCCTTGACCTTGGGCTTCTCTGTTGTGCTCTTTCGGGGCTTTTTGGCTGGTGGGGGTGGTGCATAGGCAGCTGCCTCAGGTTCAACCCACATGTCTGTGTAAACTTCTTTGTAGGGATTCTTCTCCTCTTCTGGTGGCTCCAGGCCCTTGGGGCCGGAGGACTGGAACCCCCCCCGAGGGCCCATTCAATCATTTGCTTGTTCTGCACCTCCACGGCCTTGGCAGTGTCACTCTCGTCGCTGTCATGGCACGCTGGGAACAGCTTCCCGGAGCGGCTGCTGGCCACCTGCAGGACTTTGTAGATGGCTTTGCAGTACATGGGCTGCTTGTTGTAGGTGGCCTGGTGGAACGCGCTGCAAAACGAGCTCAGTGGCATCGGCTTCTCCACACACACCACTGAGAACTTGCCATCTCCGAACCACATGACCCAGCGGGTGCCTTCAGCTGCTTGGCTCGGGCCCGTCATCCACCAAGACACAATGTGGCCTGGCCACCAGGAGAAGCCCCACAGTTTCCCCCACACCAGCTCCCCAGTGCCAAAGCCCCGGCTGTCCTCGTACTCCGGTTCGTCGTCGGCTGCTTTGGTGGCATTCTTGTCGCCAGCATCAGCCCCCACGGGTTCAGGCGTGGTGGCCACCGTGGGGGACGAGGGGTCAGTGGGCTGCTGCACAGCGGGAGGGCTGGCCTCCTCCACCTTCTGAGACTCCCCAGACCCCTGGTTCTCTTCCACAGCATTCATTACTGCAATTACCTTGGCTTTCTTCTCAGCCCATAAGGCCAGGTGCAGCCCCTCTGCGGTCCAGCTCCAAAAGTTTGTTATTTTTAATTATTGCTAATGTGTTTAGTGCTTCAAGTAGAACAACAGATTAGGTATATTCAAGAGAAAATGATGTATAGTTCATTTTTCAATAAGATAAATTTTTAAAAACTCACCATAATAAATTATTAATTTTACTAAATTAGGATTGGCTGTATAAATATGGATCCTAATAAGTCATCTGAAAAATATGCATGTCTGTAAATCAGGAAAATCTGCCATTTCACTAATTTAGAATTATTTTTTAAATAATTTTTCATATTTCAAGTTTATATATTGAGTTGTTTGCAGCATGTGTATAACAGGCAAGAACTATTAAAATAATAAAATTATATGCATAAATATTTCAGGAAATTTCATTTTACATCCTTCTTTAATAGCATCTTTATTTTATTTTTCCCATACTTATTATTTCTTAATATGTACAAAAATATATCTTGTTTTTAAATTTTTTGCCTCCCACCCACTTTTTTTCCAATATACATAAGTATTTCTTTACTTAATGTGTACTGGTAGTTTTAGATACTTTCCTTTTTGTTTTCATTTTTTTTTTTTTTTCAGAAAAGGCAAAGAGGCAAAAGGATTGCAAAGTCTGGCCAAAAGGATTGCAGTTCTAAGAGTCAAAACTCAACTGTTTGTCACTATTTTTTTTTTTTTTTTTTTTTGAGACAGAGTCTCGCTTTCTTGCCTAGGCTAGAGTGAGTGCCGTGGCGTCAGCCTAGCTCACAGCAACCTCAAACTCCTGGGCTCGAGTGATCCTTCTGCCTCAGCCTCCCGGGTAGCTGGGACTACTGGCATGCGCCACCATGCCCGGCTAATTTTTTATATATATATCAGTTGGCCAATTAATTTCTTTCTATTTATAGTAGAGACGGGGTCTCGCTCTTGCTCAGGCTGGTTTTGAACTCCTGACCTTGAGCAATCCGCCGCCTCGGCCTCCCAAGAGCTAGGATTACAGGCGTGAGCCACAGCGCCCGGCCTGTTTGTCACTATTTTGACTTTGTAGATTTTGCTTCTCCTTGGTCAGAAAAGGGTATTCAGGTTTTATTTTCCCCAGTTGGACAAAAAGGGCAAAGAAAACTGGAAGAGCCTTCTACTCTACTCATGCTCCTTTTCATACCCAACATCAAGCTAGACAAGCTCTCACTGGTCAGTCTGCAGGTTGCTGTCCCATGACTGAAGCCATACTACATTTTCATGGAGGACGAGATAGGAAAAACAGATGTAGGTCACTTGGGAAGAGCAGGCATCCATAGCTTCAATACTTGTCATTGAAGGGGTAATCCTCATGGGAGGCACAGCTTACCAAGGTATAGAACCTCCAGTTTCTGTTGTAGCTGAGTAAGATGGTCATATCCTGGCTGCTCAGTTCAAAGTCAAAGACCTTAAAGTTCTCAGCAGTGTGTTCAGGTGTCACAGACTTGGGCATCACCACCGAGTTCCTCCACATGGGGAACTGAATCTGAACCTTGGCTGGAGTTTTATTGTGCTTGACTGCAATCACCTTGATCCTGGGATCCTCCAGTAGGTATGGGTCCTCGGGCTTGGCCTACGCCTGTCAGGAGAGCCAAGGAGGCTGTAGGCAGTCACCACAATGCCTTTGGACTGGCAGTACTGTACTAATTTCTCCTAAGTTAGGTACTGGTGGCACTTGATTTGGTTAACTGCTGGTTTATACCTTAAGCCAGGTTTGTTCAAGATTCTCTTGATCTGGAGATGGTTGAAGTTGCAGATGCCAATAGCTGCCACCAGCCCTTCATCTACCAGCTCTTCCATGGCCATCCATGTGTCCAAAATATCTGTATCATTGGGAATCATGTTGCCTGCTACATCCAATGTGAAAAATTCCTTCCCATGCTAAAGCCTCTCAGCCAGTGAATAAGGTAGAGGTCCAGGTAGTCCAGCTACAGGTCCTTGAGAGTATTTTTGCAGGCCTCTTTCACCAGGCCCTTCTCATGGTATGTGCACCACAGCCTGCTAACGATAAAGAGCTCCTTCCATGTCACCACCTGCTCCCTGAGCTTCTGATGGGTTGCCAGCTCTACCTCATGCTCATTCTGGTACATATGGGTGCAGTCAATGTGGTGGTACCTGACGTTGATCACTGCCTTCATAGCCTTGGTCACCTGGCCTGGAGAGGACTTCTAGGTGTCCAGCCCCAGCATGGGCATCTTTGCGCCAGTGTGGAGCATGATGCGCTGGCTATGGCTGCTGAGCTTCACAGACCCCTGCCTGGAACCATGATACTTTGTTTTTTGGCTAGAGTTCATTGTTAAATACTGTAGTGCATTCTTTTTTTAAAAATAGAGACAGGGTCTTGCTCTGTTTCCCAGGCTAGAGTGCAAGAGTGCAGTGGTGCCATCATAGCTCACTGCAACCTTAAACTCCTTGGCTTGAGCAATCCTCCTGAGTATCTGGGACTACAAATGCATGCCACAGTGTCCAACTAATTTTTTTATTTATTTTTTTTGTAGAGGCAGAGTCTTGCTATGTTGCCCAAGCTAGTTTTAAACTCTTGGCTTCAAGTGATCCTCCTGCCTCAGCCTCCCTGCATTGGATTCTTGATTACTGTTTTGCAAAAAAAGTGATTTTTATCTAGTATTGTTTGAGATACTGTAATTTAACTCGCACTTTAAATTTTTTCCCTTGAAGGGAAAAATCTGTGTTGATGAATGACACAATACTACTGAGAATCCTTTTTTTGCTTTAGAAAAATTATTAATTCGCTTCCTTTCCTAAAAAGTGTCTCTCCCTCTCTGCTGTAGTTGATCACTTAACTGTTCCATAAACATTCCCTACTTATTCAAATCTCTTAGACTTTTAATGTAGCTTTGCATCTCTGTCTAGTCTTGTCTGGTTCTCCTTTTCCTTCAAGGATTAACTGAACTCTTACCTTTGTAAAGCCTTCCTTAAATCTTGCTGCTTTTGATCTTCCTTCCTTCCTCTATAACACGGACAATCATAACAGTAATAAGAATGGTTTTTTATTAAAAATGGCTAACATTTACATACTGATTATGTGCCAGACATTTTACTAGGTTGTGTTTTTTTGTTTGTTTGTTTTATTTTTTTTAAGACAGGGTCTCTCTATGTTGCCCTGGGTAGAGTGCAGTGGCATCATTCTAGCTCACTACAACTTCAACCTCCTGGGCTCAAGGGATCCTCCTGCCTCAGCCTCCTGAGTAGCTGGGACTACAGGCATGCGCCACCATGCCTGGCTAATTTTTTCTATATATAGTAGTTGGCCAATTAATTTCTTTCTATTTCTAGTAGAGACGGGGTCTTGCTCTTGCTCAGGCTGGTTTCGAACTCCTGACCTCAAGCAATCCACCCGCCTTGACCTCCCAGAGTGCTAGGATTACAGGCATGAGCCACCACGCCCGGCCTATTTTAAAGTGTACTATAACTTGTTGTAGAGTATAGTCACTTTGTTGTGGTGTCAAATATTGTTCATTCTATCTGCCTAACTATATTTTTGTACCCATTAACCATCTTCACTTTATCCTCCCCTCCCTGCTACCCTTCCAAGTCGCCGGTAACTATCATTCTACTCTCTGTCTCCATGAGATCAATTGTTTTAATATTTAGCTCCCACATAGGAGTGAGAACATGTGAGATTTGTCTTTCTGTGCTTAGCTTATTTTACTTAACATGATGTTCTCCAGTTCTATCCATGTTGTTACAAATGACAGTATTTTATACTTTTTTTATGGCTATACAATATTACATTATATATATATATCACAATTTCTTTATCCATTCATCCATTGATTGGTACTTAGGTTGATTCCAAATCTTGGCTACTGTGAATAGTGCTGCAATAAACATGGAACCCTGCCATCCTGTTCTCCATAGTGGTTGTACTAATTTACATTCTCACCAATAGTGTATGAGGGTTCACCTTTCTCCACATTTTTGATAAAAGCTGTTTTAACTAGGGTGAGATGATATCTCATTGTAGTTGTGATTTGTATTTCTCTGATGACAAATGATGTTGAGCATTTTTTCATATACCTGTTGGCCATTTGTATGTCATCTTTTGAAAATGTCTATTCAGATTTTTTGCTCATTTTTAAGTGGATTATTTGTTTTTTTCCTATTGAGTTGTTGGAGCTCCTTTATTAATGCCTTGTCATGTAGGTAGTTTGCAAATATTTTCTCCCGTTCTGTGGGTTGTCACCTCCCTTTGCTCATTGTTTTCTTTGCTGTGCAAAAGCTTTTTAGCTTGATGTGATCCCATTTGTTTAATTTTTCTTTGCTTGCCTGTGCTTTGGGGGTATTACTTAAATCTTTAATCCATTTTGATTTGATTTTTGTATATGGTGGGAGATAAGGGTCTAGTTTCATTCTTCTGCATATGGATGGATATCAGTTTTCCCAGCACCATTTATTGAAGAGTCTGTCCTTTCCCCAGTGTATGTCCTTGGCACCTTTGTCAAAGATGAGTTCACTGTACATGTGTGGACTTATTTCTGGGTTGTCTCTTCTATTCCATTGGTCCATGTGTCTATTTTTGTGCCTATACCATGCTGTTTTGGTTAGAACAGCTCTATAGTATCATTTGAAGTCAGGTAATGTGATTCCTCCTTTTGTTCTTTTTGCTCAGGATGGCTTTGACTATTCTGGGTCTTCTGTGCATCCATATAAATTTTAGGATTTTTTTTTTCTGTGAAGAATGTCTTTGGTATTTTGATGGTGATTGCATTGAATCTGTAGATTGCCTTGATAATATAGACATTTTAACAATATTGATTCATCTAATCCATGAGCATGGAACATCTTTCCATTTTTTGGTGTACCTTCAATTTCTTTGATAAATGCTTTATAGTTTTCATTGTAGGAATCTTTTATTTCTTTGGTTAAGTTTATTCCTAGGTGTTTTATTTTATTTGTAGCTATTTAAATGGGATTACTTTCTTGTTTTCTTTTTCAGTTTGTTTGCTGTTGGCATATAGAAATGCTACTGATTTTTGTATGTTGATTTTGTATCCTGTAACTTTACTGCATTTGTTTATCAGTTCTAATAGTTTTTTTGTGAAGTCATTAGGTTTCCCTAGACAAAAGATCCTATTGTCTGCAAACGAGGATAATTTGACTTCTTCCTGTCCAATTTGGATGCCCCTTATTTCTTTTTCTTGTCTGGTTGCTAGCTAGAACTTCCAGTACTATGTTGAATAACAGCGGTAAAAGTAGGCATCCTTGTCTTGTTCCAGATCTTAGAGGAAAGGCTTTCAAGTTTTCCCCATGCAGTATTATGGGTCTGTCATATATGGCTTTTATCATGTTGAGGAATGTTTCTTCTATACCC